TCTTGGCACGTGAAAATGTCATGGATTTTTCCAATCTTCTTGTCTTTTGATTTTATCCAAAAATATCTATATTCTAAATCTGCTGATCTTTGTCAAAAAATAAACTGTTGCAAGATATTTTCTTCTGTGTTCTAAATTCTTGACATGGTTGTTTAGCTTACCAATTTCTTTTTCGAGAGCTCTAATTTCAATTCAGATTTCCACCCTTACTTCTGACTTAATTCTTGCTGGGCCTTCTTTTACCTGCTCAACTGTCATTTCTGGGACATGGATTTACTGCAGAATTTTCCCCTTTATTGTGGAATTTAATTTTTTTTCCTTTCCACAATAGTACTTATTCATTATTTTGGTTCCTTTTCTTGATTGCTTACTTACCTCTCATAATTTTATCAGTTCTTTCATTGGTTTTTCTGTGCATCCCCTCCTATAATAAGCTCTCTTAGTACAAAACATGTTCCTTTTTGTTTTTGTTTAGAACAAAGTAGGTTAACATCCCTGTTGATCTCCTCCTTCAGCCCTTCAATTTTGAACTGGATGTTAACTTCAGGCACTGTGTGGTATACAAGGCACAGGTTGGAAATTTGGATTGAGGGAGGGAATGGGCTCGGGGATTGCTAGTGCCAGATCAGAGGTATTAGCAGGTAACTCTGCCACATGGAGTCTGTGTATGGGTAGGACTGTATTGGATGTACAGACCTTCCCCTGATGGGAAAGGTCTTAGCCAGGGAGTAACACATGGCTTCACAGGGCATGGAGCTAGACCTGGGGCTGCAGTGGTATACTAAATAGTTTGCCCTTAGCTAAGGAGGATATATGACATGGGATTGCACTTGGGATCTGGGAAGTATATATGTTCACACTTGGATCTCTGACATAGGGGTAGCCTTTGTGTTAGAATTGAGACCTAGCACTATACAGTATCCCAGGCTTGGAGACTTTAAAATAAGTTTAGGGAATAGAAATGGGCGATCCAATAGTTCACACTTTTAACAGTGTTTGGTAGTATTTACCTTGAGGGAGACCTCTTTCTTATTCTTCTTATAATAGTTACCATTTACATGATTTAACGCACTTTTGATGGAAAGAGGGAGAGAAGCCTAAAAGAAATCACTGGTTATGCCATCATAACTGGAAATCACCCTCTATACATCTGTGGGCATAAATGGGCCTTGAGGTCAAGGCAGAATCACAGAAGCTCAGAGCTGGAGGAGACCTCAGAGGTCAAATCCTGCCATATCTAAAGCAGAAATCCACTTCACAATATCAGTACAGAAGCCACCATGACATCTCTGATTAAAGACCTCCTGTCAGTGGTAGAAAACTCACTACGTTTCCTAAGTCATAATAAATTACCATTCATTATGTCATCATTTGGGTATAATATTTGTCATGACGCACAACCATAATTCATCAGACAATAGAATGTGGAGCTACTCATTTTGATTCGTTTGAATTGGCAATTAGGGGAACACAGTTATATTTGACTACAATTCTGTCTTTTAGCTATTCCTTTCAAATATTTTAAATAATTTTCCTGTAATGTATGTATATGCAATAACACACTTTATTATCATAGAAAAATAACAATTTGTTGCTTTCCAGATGCGTAGAGTTATGCAAATATATGAAAACATGTGCTCTCCAGAATAGCACTGATCCATCTCCTGCATATTTCTATTTTGTAGGGGTTTTTGTATAAACTCTGGAATCCAATTAAACTCATTTCCTACTAAACAAAGGCATTGGGGTTTGGGAAGGATTGTGGTGTCTTTGTGAGGAGAAGAGAAACAACTCCTTTAACTGAAGGTCATTAAAATAGATCCAGTTTTCACAAGAGATAAATTTTTAATCGACTATATGAAATTGAAAGCCTTTATACCAAGAATATTAATGTAATGAAAAGAAGGGAAACTGGAAAAAATACTTTATCACATATCTCTGATGAGTCAGATATCTAAGTTTTCTAGGTAATTGACAGAAAGACATGAGACCAAACCAGTCCCCAATAGTTCTCAAACAAAGAACAACACATTATTAACAGCTAAATGAAAGAAATGCTCCAACACTTACAATAAGACAACTGCAAAGGACCAGGTGCATCAATTGAAGTAAAAATGTGTTTGTTCCTTCAAGGTATTCTCAAATTCCAGTCCTTCCAGTAGTAAAAACAACCCTGAGTTTTCACCTCCCACTCATAGGAGGAGGAGCACGTTGGAAGATCAGCACACACTATTGCTGATGGAACTTTAATTGACCCAATCATTCTGGAAAGTAATTTAGGATAATGTTAAGAAAAAAACAAAATATCCATATGCTTTGATTCGGAGGTCCCACTGGTAGATATAAAGCCAAAAGAAATCAATTATTTTTATAAAAGTTTCATATGTTCTGCTCCCATCCCCCCCAAAAAAATACCCATATTTATAGCAGCATTTCCTATAATACAAAAAAAAAACTGAAAGCAAAGTAGATGGCCACCTATTAAGCAATTATTAACCAAGTTGTGGTACACCAATGTATTATCTTGTTGTAAGAAACAATAAATATGAGGAATACCGAAAAGCATGGGAAGACATAGGAAGCACTGTGATATAAGAAAAGTATATTCAGGGAAACAACATATATGCCCGATGCCTACAACAAGTAAGAATAACAGCACATGATTGCAGCTGAATATTGTGAAGTAATGACCAGAGGCCACTGATGAGAAGAAAGTCCCATATACACCAAAATATTACTGCCTGCAGAAACAGAAAGAAATATTAATATAAAAAAAGGCATAGAAAGAGCAAAATCATTTGGAGGCAGAGTGAAATGAGCCAAACCAAGAAAACAATATATGCAATATAAGTGAAACAATGAACATGGAAAAACCACACCAAAAAAAAGAGTCAATATAAAATGACAAGCAATAAGCATAGTTCAAAAGAAAAGATATGAGAAGACAACCAAACCCCAACCATTTGCAGAGGTGGGAGGTCCATAACTGTGGTTTATCCATATTTTTATATATTTTTGGTGATCAGTTATTTTAATTTTCCCATCTTTTTTCTCCTTTTTTGTTTTTAAAAATGTCATTTGTTATATGAGATGGCTCTCTGGGAGAGGAAAGGGTAGGCATACTGGAAAAAATTTTGGTAATAAATAAAAACATCAATAAAAACATTTTGAAGAGAAAATTTAATGACAAAACCTGAACCTGAATAAAAGATATAGAAAGGCATTTCATCCCCAATTTTGCAAAGATGGAGCCAGGTTAGAAATGTGAAACCATATCTGTCAGAGTTTTTCAAAATGTTGGTAGGGTGTTTTTTCTTTCTTATTCTTTCTTATAAAAGATTATACTTTGGGAGGTGGAGAAAAGAAAGGGATACATTGGAAAATGTAGATAATGCAAAACAAAACATCGTTATAAAATACATTTTTTAAAGAGTGACTCTGAGTACGGTAAAGAAAAGATGGATTTGGAAAGAAAGTTTATGAAATCATAGGCTATTCCCTCCAGCTCATCCCTGAAGCCAGAACCCACTCTTCAACATCTCACAAATGGTCATCAAGCTTATACTCGAAGACCCCCAAAGATCAGGAGTCCGTTACCTCTCAAGGCAACGCATTTAACTCTAGACAGCCATAGTATATTTTCCTATGATTCCCTCGAGGTAGCTAGGGAATGAGGTGTTATTTGAAGGCATTGACTAAATATCCAAGTATTATACCTTGAGTGTTTAAGTCAAGAAACATTTACTAAGCACCTACTATGTTCCAGTCATTGTATTAAGCACTATGGATACCAAAAAAAAAAATGCAAATGACAGTTCCTTCCCTCAAGGAGCTCACAATATAATGGGGGAGGGGGGGAGAAAACAAGCAAATAAATATGAATAAATAAGCTATGGACAGGATAAATGGAAAAATGTCGTTCAGTCATTTCACTCATGTCCAATTCTCCATGACCCCGTTTAGGATTTTCTTGGCAAAGATACCAGAGTGATTTGCTGTTCTCTTCTCCAGCTCATTTTACAGATGAAGTCACCAGGGTAAACAGGGTTAAGTGACTTGCCCAGGGTCATACAGCTTGTTTCCAAGGCCAGATTTGAACTGAGAAAAATGAGTCTTCCTGACTCCAGGCCTGGCACTCTATCCACTGCCATCACCTAGCCACCTACAGGATCAATCAGAAATAATTAACAGAAGAAAGGCATTAGAATTAAGAGGGGTTGGGAAGACTTCCTGGAGAAGGTGAAATTTTAGTTGAGACTTGAAAGAACCCAGAGAAATCAGGAGATAGAGAAGAGTGAAGAGCACATTCCAATGATGGGTGTCAGCCAAAGACAATAACCAGAGCCTAGAGAGTGAATGCTTATTAATGGAACAGCAAGGAAGCCAATGTCACGGGACCAAAGAGCATCCAATGAAGAGTTAAGATATAAGGGACAGCCAGATGTATAAGCTGATAGAATACTGGGTCTGGAATAAGGAAGACCTGAATTCAAACCCAGTCTCAAGTACTCACTGGATGTGTGACCCTGAGCAATTTGCTTAATCTCTGCTTGTCTAGGAAGCAGCTAGGTGGCTCAGTAGATAAAGTGTTGGACTTGCAGTCAGCAAGACCTGAGTTCTAATCCAATGTCAGACAAGTGTCATTAGCTTGTGACTCTGGGCAAATCTCTGTACCTCTGTTTGCCTTAATCCACTGGAAAAGGAAATGGCAAACTACTCCAGTATCTTTTCCAAGAAAACCCCATAGGCCGTATGATCCATGGATTCATGAAGCATTGGACACAACTGGACAATTATACAATAACAAGTTATAAGGAGCATAGAAAGGTAGGGAAGAGAAGGGACTAGCTTATGAAGGGCTTTGATGACAAGGGATTTACAAGAAAAAGCATTATGTAAATCTGAACAAAGACATTCTCAAAAACATTTTCTCTTGCATCTAGATTTCATAGTAGTATTTAGAAATAATATCCCGAGGAAGCCATCTTGGTCAATTCTAATTATTTACCAAATAGATAGAAACATTTTTTGAGGGCTGCTTTAAAATCCTTATTCCTAAGTGTGTAGATAAGAGGGTTTAAGGTGGGACTGACTGTGGTGTACAAGAGAGCCACCACTTTGCCATTATCCATTGAAGGACTAGAGCCTGGAAGCATGTAAGTGTATGTGATTGTGGTGTAATAGATGGTAACCACGATGAGGTGAGAGGAGCAGGTAGAGAAGGCTTTCTTCTTCCCCTCCGCGGTGTGGATCTTCAGAATATTGGAGATGATGAAGCCATAGGACACCAGAGTGAGCACAAAACTTACAACTCCAAAGTACAGATCTGCAATGATTATCATGATGTTGTTCACATATGTGGAGCTGCAAGAGAGCAGTAGCAAAAAGGGGACTTCACACAGGAAATGGTTAATTTCATTGGGACCACAGAAGGTTAATTGTACCATCAGACCAGTTTGCAGTGATGAGCTGAAAGTGCCGGTGGCCCATACGCTGCCCACCAAGAGCATGCAAACCATCTTGTTCATCATGGTACTATAACGTAAGGGGTGGCAGATGGCCACATACCTATCGTAAGCCATGGCTGTGAAGAGCAGAAGCTCAGTCCCCAAAAAACACGAGAAGAAATATAACTGAGTCATGCAGCCATTATATGAAATGGGTTTCTTCTCCACAAGGTTCTCCAGCAATTTGGGCAGAACTGTGGATGTGCAGCCTATGTCAATAATGGCCAAGTTGGCAAGGAAAAAATACATGGGAGTATGGAGATTTGAGTCCAGACAGATGGCCATGATGATGAGCATGTTGCCAGTGAGGGCCACGATGTAAAGAAAGAGGAAAGAGATAAATAGGAATAACTGGAGTTGAAGTGTCTCTGAAAAACCTTGTAGAACAAACTCTGCAACCAGAGTTTGATTGCTCAGTTCCATTTGACCCAGAAATTCCTCTTGAATCAGCCAGAGGAAGTCTGACACAGTGGAGGCTCCCTCACAGAGTACTGGATAATTCAGCTGAGCTTTAGCAGATACATGAGGCAGAGGTTTGAATAAAAGCTGAAAAATGTTTTAATTTTAGATATGTGGAATGGTTATCACATTCCAATTAAAAATTGTAATTGTCAGCAAGTCAGCTCATGAATCACCTAATAAAAATACTGGCAGTGATATATGGCCCAAAAGAGGCCATCAGGAGGCCTCTTCACCAGCACCTTCCACACTCACTGACCTTTCCCAAATTCCTTTCTTTGTCTTCCCATTTTTCTTCTGTCCCACTGTTTTATTTTTATTTATTTGCTGCTGTTGTTTTATATTTTGTTCTTCAGAAGGCAGCTGGGTAATGCACTAGATAGATCACTTAGCCTGGAGTCAGAAAGATTTGAGTTCAAATCCAGACTTATACACTTTCTAGCTTTGCACTGGGCAAATCATATAACCTCTGTCTGCCTCACTTTCCTCAACTGTAAAATGGGCATCTCCCAGTGTTAGTTTTGAGGATCAAATGAGATACTATTTGTAAAGTGCTTTGTAAATCTTAAAGTGCTATAGAAGAGCTATTATTTTATTATTATTATTATTATTATTATTATTATTATTATTATTATGCTCTTTAAGAGGACCGTGTCTTCACTATCTTGGTGGTTCCCTTTCTAACATGGTATAGTGGAAAGTAGGCTGTAGAATCCAAAGTTTGGAGTCTGAGTTTAAGCTCTGACTCATACTACCTAAGTGGCCTTGGGCAATGGTTTTTTTTGACTCTTTGAGCTTCAGTTTTCTCATCTGCAAAACAAAGATCATAATAATTGTAATATGTACCTCATATGATAATCTAGAACAAAATGTTTTATATACCTTAAAATACTACATAAATCTGGGTCACTGTTGCTAAAGATTTGATACAACTTCTTTCAGTTTTTGCCCAGGAAACATTCTGCTATTCTGTAACCTACCAAAAAGAAAAAACCCACAAAAAAAAAAACTATTGTCCTTCTCCCTCTACTTCCAATGCCCCTCACCCCAAAGAAAATGGAAGTTGGGGAAAAACTGTATTGCATTTCGAGGTTTAAGATAACCATAGCAACTCCAAGTCAAAATTGTATTCTCAGTTCTTTTTCATTTTACCAAGGAATAATGAACTAAATTCGAAAAGGATATGGGATATGAGATGTCTGTAAGTTCAGTCATTTCCAACTCGTTGTGCACTCTGGGGTTTTCTGAGCAAAGATACTGGAGGGATTTGCCATTTCCTTCTCTAGCTCATTTTGCAGATGAGGAAACTGAGGCAAACAGGGTTAAGTAACTTGTCCAGGGTCACACAGCTATTAAGTGTCTGAGGCCAGATTTGAATTTAGGAAGACAGGTCCTCCTGACTCCAGGTCCAGCACTCCAACCACCACACCATCTAGCTGCCTCTGAGACTTCTGCAAAGCCCCACCCAAAATATTCAATGTGAGTGAGCCCATTCAGAAGCCTAAGGAGGCCAGACTCCAAGAAGCTTCGATGCATTATAATAGCTGACATTTGCAATACACTTTAAATGCTGTAGAGCATAATTTAAGTGTTTTTTTTAACTCCTATTCTTTGGTTAAATACATCCCCCAACATACCATAAAGCTGCCAAAGAATAACATCCACACACAGCTGTTAACCATCTTAATTCAGATCTCTTCAGCTGTTACATCATTCCATTCGATCTTCGCAAGAACTCTGGGAGGTAGGTACTATTATTGTCCACATTTTACAGATGGGGAAATGGAGTTCTGCATTAAATGGCTTGCTCAAAGTTTTCTAACTACAGAGTAGCAGAGTCAAGGCTAGAACCTGCTATTTCTGATTCCCCTATGCAGTCCCCTTCCTATTACATGTTTCCCTCTGTTGATTTTTTCCAATATATCCTAAGGGCCTTTTCTCTCCTTATCTATTTCCCCTTCTTCTACTACCCATAAAAAATTCTTAGAAAACCTTCAGAGGAATTCATGGGCCTGGGCCTGGGAAGATGAAAAGGAAAACTTAGTCAGAAGCAATATGTGGCACCCATGGAAAGAAAAGTAGGGAGATCATCCCTTCAGCCCTAGAATAAATAAAAGGATAGAAGAGGACCTGAAACAGAGCATATCATGCTAAACGAAGTGCAAGATTTGAGTCCTAAAAACCTGGGCTAGAGTTTTGTTTCTGCCACACACTAATTATAGAACAATGGACAAGTCAGTTAATCTCTGAGTCCCCTGGAATTTCTCTGGGATGAGTCAAAATCACCAAAGACCCATGCCTCTTCCCTTCTTATTTCCTACCCTCATCAATTGACCCCCGATTAACTGAAAGTCCTATCTTAAATACCTTCATCAGAGCTATAGCAGAACTTTGAGCTGAAAGGGATCTTAGAAATCCCTTGGAGCATAACCTTTTTAGAACATGGACCCTTTTGGCTGTGTCTGGTAGAATCTAAGGACCCTTTCTTGAAATAATATTTTTCAATGCATAAAATAAAATGCATAGGGTAGTGAAATGAGTCAATTCTATTAGATACAGTTATCAAGATATTTTCTTAAAGTTCATTAACTGTAGGATAAGAAACTCCCAATAGTCTTTTTTATTTTACAGATGAGGAAACTGAGGCCTGAAGAAGGGAAAAGATTTGCTTGAGGTTAAACTAACAAGATCGTTATGTGAATTCTAGTCTTCAGACTTTAACTCTAGTGTTATTTCCACCACAATAAATAAGTTTTGAACTGGTGTTACCCCCAATTCCATTTAGGGAAGGGCAGAAAGGGCATATATTCCTGGTATTAGAACCATGAATATTCCATGGAAACATGGTTACAAAAGGTGACTTGATTCTACAGTCCTTTGACTAAGTTTAAATTTAAGGCACATTATATAAATTTAAGGCACATTTATATATATATATGTGTGTGTGTGTGTGTGTGTGTGTGTGTGTGTGTGTGTGTGTGTGTATATATATACAGAGAGACAGAGAAAGAGAGAGATTATAATGCATGACAGATTAAATAGGCTTTTGTGCACTGGTCTGGGAATCTGACCACTACGGCTAATATCACTTCCATAGGAAAGTATTGGTCCAAGTTCTAAACAATCTGAACTTTTGGGAAACAGTGAATTTGTGCACTAGTGAATTGCCAGTATCATGCTGTTGATGATAATAAACTCCTCTCTTCAAAGTGGAATATACCACCACCATCAAGAGGAAATAAAGCCTCTAAGATCATTCCTGTGTTTGCTTATTATTACTCTTCCATTCTTATTATGGTACAGTGAAGAACACACTAACCCTGGGGTCAGAGGCCCTGGGTTCAAATCCCACCTCTGACACTTCCTGCTTGTATGACATTTGTCTCCCTGGGCCTCATGTCCCTGAACTGTAAAATGAGGGTAATTGAGATGAAGGGTCTTTGAGGTCTCTTCTAGCCCTGGACCCATATCCCTGAGATAACATCCTTCCACCTGTGACTTAGAAATGCTGAGTAAAGTAACTGTGACTACTTAGAATAGCAGCTGCTGAGTAAAAAAAGAGCTCAAATCTGAGTTGTACCAGTTTTTTACAGGAAATATAACATGGAGGTTTCCTTGCTGAAACAGCAGACCAAAAGATGGGTATGGGAGTTGCTGTTTATGACGACCTCCATGGCCTAGATTGAAAACCTAAACCATGTTGTACTGGGGTCCCTCTCATTGCCTCCTGTGATTACATGCAGATGTTTGTTGTACTGTGTGTAACAGATGGGGGTAGAGATCACTCTTTGGCTACCTTAAGGTATTCAAGAAGAGGAGGACTATAATTAATTAGAGAACAGAAGCTTTAAAAATCACTTAGACATCAGCAACATCTTTTCATACAATTCTGCAAAAAAAAATAATAATAATAAACCCAATGGGTTGTTGCTGGGTTTTTTTTTTATTGTTCTTCAACCATAAAACAGAAACATAGGTGAACGGTCATAGGTCTCAAGCTGAAAGGGACCTTGGAAGCCATCTAGTTCAACCCTTTCATTCTTTTTATAGATGAGGAAAGTGATGCCCCTAGAAGCCAAAGGATTAACCCAAGATAACAGGTCATAAACAGCAAAGTCAGGATTTGGACTCAGGTTTTCCTATTCCAAATCAAGTGTTCCTGTCATTTACTATTAACATGGCAGATTTTCCCAATCTTTTCTTCTCTACAAATGAGAAACTTACCTTCTCAAAAGAAAAACAAACAACCTTCTCACTCTGTTGGAAACGTTGAGATGTGATATGAATAAAATGGCTTTGCCTCCATCCTTTTCCTTTCTTATTTTGGCCTTTAAAATAAAAACAACTGAAATTATCACAGAGTGGCCAGCTCTTTGTATTTTTAGTGAAGGTCATCTGGGAAATATTTCCCAAAGAGCTTCCCCTGAAAACTCCTGAAGGATCAATTAAGTTCAAGCTTGGCTGCTTTATCCTCATGAAATAAACAAGGTTCTATGTTTAGAGAATTTCTTCATTAAGTTCAGGTATATGAAACTGACATCATAGAATGTTAAAAGGTAGAAATATCGTGGTGATCAAGGAAGGAACTCATCAACTCTACATAATTGGCTTAGGTTTCAGAACTGGTACTAAAAACACTGGGTAGGCAAGTTTTTCTGTCTTTGACACTTTGGATCTAACCCAGAAACACTGGCTAAATATCCTTGACAAGTAGAAGTACTTCTTAGGGAATTGACTGGAAAATCTTTTAAAGTCAATCTTTGACAGAAAAATTTAAAGAAAATCTTTTAATGTGAAAATTTCTCTATATAATTTTATATAATTTTGTTTATATAATTGACTTTCAAGCCAAAACCCAATCTGTTATTGCCGTCTCTCCCTAGAGGAACAGTCTGGTTTATTCATATATTTGATTTTAAAGGAACTAATGGTTGGAAGATAAGCTTTTTGGCCAGAGGACTGTA